CAGTAAATAAAACCTTTCAAATCATTATGAAGCGTGTGTAGACTTGGTCGTCAAACAAACGGGCTTCCACATGGATAATTGTCATTTTTGTGGAAATTGGGTGTCACTCCCCTTGTGCAGATATCCAAGAACTAGCTACAAGCAGTATTAAAACAGGGGGAAAAGTTTTTGGGTATGCCCAAAAGAGATAAATCTGTGGACTAAAATACAAGGATTTAAAAGAGGACAACATCAAAGCTGCTTTCATAGAAAACCTGGAAGCTTTCTACAAAAAGATGGAACATAAAAAGTCTGGGCTGAATGGTACTGCCCTTGATTACTGGCCATGTAGTCAGAAACTGTAAGGCTGGAGATGAAGTCCTGGTAGTCAGTAAATGTGGGGCTGATATGCTGTCCTGGGAGACAGTAATGGTGAAGCTGGAGGTGCGTCCTGGGAGACAGTAATGGTGAAGCTGGAGGTGCTGTCCTGGGAGACCAGTAATGGTGAAGCTGGAGGTGCTGTCCTGGGAGACAGTAATGGTGAAGCTGGAGATGCTCTCCTGGGAGACAGTAATGGTGAAGCTGGAAAATTTTGTCCAGGTAGTCGGGAATTATACCAGGAAGGAATACATAAAAATGACCTCATAGGGACAGGAGCCATAGTAGGGAAACAAGTGTAGTCAAAATAAAATAAAACCAATTTTCAAACTAGAAATACCGCAGGGAAAAAGCAAACAAGAGGACTCCACTAGCAATAGTGAGGATATATTACCAAAAAAAAACTGGTGGGAGCTCCATTGTTGTGCGGGGATGATAGAAGAAAGAAGGGAAACATGCCCAACGGGAATACAGTCCAGAAACCAAGGAAAACGGAACCAACCCTGTGCAATACTTGCATTGGGTATCTGCTGGCAGGGAAATCTGGAAAAACAAAGGGACTGAACTTGCCCACCCAGAAAAATGCCATGCCCATATGACAACAGGAAATGCAAATTTCCCTTTCCCTGAAATTTTTTCACCGAACTGTGTCCCTCTTCAGTAAGGAAAGCTGTGCTATAACTTAAATTGCCGGGAAACCCATCAAAGGGGACAAAAAAAACAAAACATCCGGGCCAGGGAAAACCGGGGTCCACAGCCACTCAAGGGGGGAGAGGTTTTTATTTTGCGGGAAAGGGAAAAAAAGGGAGGAAATGGCAGAAATCGTCACCAAATCTAGTCATTCCTGGAGTGGAACCACATCGAGGGCCTCCACCCCAAAAAAAAACAGTACAGATATTAATCCGGAAAAAAAATCCCCCCCCAGTACCAACAATACCCCCAGTCCGATAACATTCTTTTTTTGCAAAAACAGGGTCTAAAGCCCGCAACAAAACAAAATACCTTTTTATCCGTGGATGCTTTTCAGAGCAAAGGAATGTTCCGGCTTTCCTGAGACCCCCCATAAAGGAGCACTTTGGGCAACGAAATATATCCCCGGGACAACCTATACAGAGTGAAGAGTGAACAGGCAAAAGGGGGGGGGGGGTTGGCTGTACATTGCAGAGTCACTTGTTGCCAAACTGCTTAATCCTCAAAAGATGTGTGGAAGTTTTAGCAGTAAAGGCGGAACCAAAACCTAGTCATTGTGGTATCTACAAAACCCCGGAGCAAATCCCAAATTCAGAACAGTGTTAAAATTGCCACTGTCTGGAAAAAACTTCCCGCTCCTGACCCAACATCTTGCTCCTGGGGGGTTTCAAATTAAAGGGACCTAAAAAGGAGGAATATAGCAATAAAAAAATTTTTGCAGTAATAAAACCAGGAGGCACTCTGATGAAAACTCCACTCCACGAGCTTTTAAACTCTGCACAAAAAACAATTTTAAAACAGCAAAAATAGAGCCCACTAGATGGAGAAAACACTAACCCCATCTTCAAACAATGAGATCTATAAGAAAAAGCACCATACAAAAACAAATTTCTCAATCACAACATAATTTAGGTTCAGCATGTATGCGTGGAGCCCCCAAACCCACATAATGAGATAGTCCCCGGGGAGCATTCACCCAAAATTTAAATTTAATAAAAAAAAACATAAAGTGGGGCCAAGTAAACCAAGTCCTAACCGATATAAGCTGGGAAGATATACTAAGCAACACAGACCCCAACTTATGCCTAGAACAGATTAACTCGGTGCACTCGATGTATGCACAAGGCTTATTCCTCTAAGAAAAAGGGGAGTAGATGTAAAATAGAAAGAGACAGGCGCTCCCTTTACAGGGGACGGAAAATAATAACAGAGCGGCTAAAAGAGGTCAATATATCTGAAATGCGTAGGGAGACACTGGTCAGAGAAATAGCAAGCATCGAACTTAAGCTAAAAGAATCCTTTAGGAGTCAGGAATCGCGGGAAGAACTAAAAGCCATAAATGAAATCGAAAGAAACCCAAAGTATTTCTTCTCCTATGCCAAATCAAATCGAGAACAACGTCCAGTATTGGGCCCCTACTTAAACAAAATGGGTCCTACACAGATGACAGCAAGGAAATGAGTGAGCTACTCAAGTCCCAATATGACTCAGTTTTTAGCAAGCCGCTAACCAGACTGAGAGTCGAAGATCAAAATGATTTTTTATGAGAGAGCCACAAAATTTGATTAACACAAGCCTATCCGATGTTATCCTGACGCAAATGACTTCGAACAGGCGATAAATGACATGCCCATGCACTCTGCCCCAGGGCCAGACTCATGGAACTCTGTGTTCATCAAGAACTGCAAGAAGCCCCTATCACGAGCCTTTTCCATCCTATGGAGAGGGAGCATGGACACGGGGGTCGTCCCTCAGTTTACTAAAAACAACGGACATAGCCCCACTCCACAAAGGGGGCAGTAAAGCAACAACAAAGAACTACAGACAATAGCACTAACATCCCATATCATAAAAATCTTTGAAAGGGTCCTAAGAATGCAAGATCACCATCCATCTAGAAACCCATCAGTTACACAACCCAGGGCAACATGGGTTTAGAACAGGTCGCTCTCTGTCTGTCTCAACTATTGGATCACTACGACAAGGTCCTAAAATGCAACTAGAAGACAAAAAGAATGCAGATGTAATATATACAGACTTTGCAAAAGCCTTCGACAAGTGTGACCATGGCGTAATAGCGCACAAAATGCGTGCTAAAGGAATAACAGGAAAAGTCGGTCGATGGATCAATAATTTCCTCACTAACAGAACACAGAGAGTAGTCGTCAACAGAGTAAAGTCCGAGGCAGCTACGGTGAAAAGCTCTGTTCCACAAGGCACAGTACTCGCTCCCATCTTGTTCCTCATCCTCATATCCGACATAGACAAGGATGTCAGGTACAGCACCGTGTCTTCCTTTGCAGATGACACCCGAATCTGCATGACAGTGTCTTCCATTGCAGACACTGCAAGGCTCCAGGTGGACATCAACCAAATCTTTCATTGGGCTGCAGAAAGCAATATGAAGTTCAACGATGAGAAATTTCAATTACTCAGATATGGTAAACATGAGGAAATTAAATCTTCATCAGAGTACAAAACAAATTGTGGCCACAAAATAGAGCGAAACACCAACGTCAAAGACCTGGGAGTGATCATGTCGGAGGATCTCACCTTCAAGGACCATAACATTGTATCAATCGCATCTGCTAGAAAAATGACAGGATGGATAATGAGAACCTTCAAAACTAGGGAGGCCAAGCCCATGATGACACTTTTCAGGTCACTTGTTCTATCTAGGCTGGAATATTGCTGCACACTAACAGCACCTTTCAAGGCAGGTGAAATTGCCGACCTAGAAAATGTACAGAGAACTTTCCACGGCGCGCATAACGGAGATAAAACACCTCAATTACTGGGAGCGCTGAGGTTCCTAAACCTGTATTCCCTGGAACGCAGGAGGGAGAGATACGTGATTATATACACCTGGAAAATCCTAGAGGGACTAGTACCGAACTTGCACACGAAAATCACTCACTACGAAAGCAAAAGACTTGGCAGACGATGCACCATCCCCCCAATGAAAAGCAGGGGTGTCACTAGCACGTTAAGAGACCATACAATAAGTGTCAGGGGCCCGAGACTGTTCAACTGCCTCCCAGCACACATAAGGGGGATTACCAACAGACCCCTGGCAGTCTTCAAGCTGGCACTGGACAAGCACCTAAAGTCAGTTCCTGATCAGCCGGGCTGTGGCTCGTACGTTGGTTTGCGTGCAGCCAGCAGCAACAGCCTGGTTGATCAGGCTCTGATCCACCAGGAGGCCTGGTCACAGACCGGGCCGCGGGGGCGTTGACCCCCGGAACTCTCTCCAGGTAAACTCCAGGTAAACACACTTTTTAAATTGCACCAAAGTGGTTGGGCCACTTTCCTTTTATATCCTACCTCGTTCCCCCTCTCACCCTTTTCCCATATTTCTATCCTTACCCATCCTTCTTCCTTACCCTTCTTACCAAAGCTCTGGTCGTAAGTTGAAGTTGAAGTTGATCTTCATACTGTTGTTGTTGTTGGAGGTTCGCCGGTACTGCCGGCCAGGGTCTTCTCCAGATGGCGACCAGGCCTTGGCTCCCAGGAATGGGAGTGGTCAGTGTGGTCAGTGGTCAGTTGTCACGTGAGGTCACAGGCCCTGAGCTGCTTTGGGGATTAGTGTGGACAGTTACAAAGCCATGGCTTGCTTTTGCAGTGTTTTGAAAATTGAGGATGGAGAGTTGAAGGAGGAAGTCTTGCTTCTCCAAGAGGAAATTAGGAGGCTGAAGGTTCACCTCAATGGGGTTGGGAGCGAGTGTGAGATGGCTGATATGGTGGAGGGGAATGAGGCTACCAGCAGCGAGGTGCAGTCTGTCTCTCGCTGCTAGGAAGCTGTAGGTGGGGAGGTAGCAACAGCTACCAGAGGTGAGGTGCAGTCCAACACCTACTACAAGTGGCAAGTGGTTCCCAGTAATGGGAAGAGCATCAAGATAAGGAAAGTTAAGAGAGAAGATTTGAAGGTAAGAAATCGCTTCTCTGTTCTTCAGGATGAGTGTACTTCAGTGGCCAGTGAAGGTAAAGGTACTACTTCTCCTGCAAATGGAGGTAAGCTCATACTTGTGGTTGGTGACTTACAGGTAAGATATATGGACCGTGCCTTCTGTAATAGGAATAAGAAGGTAAGAGATAGAGTGTGCTTCCCAGGAGCTGGTGTTAGTGACATAGTCGACAGGTTGGATAATAGCATGTCAGGTAATGGGAACAAGCCTATTATCTGTCTCAGTGCTGGTGGAAATGATATTGGGAAGAGGAGAGAAGACCTGCTAGATAAGTACAGGTCAGCTATAGATTTAATTAAGTCTAAGGGAGGGGTCCCAATTATATGTAGCATCTTGCCTAGAAGGGGAGTGGGAAATGAATGGTTGTCTAGGGCAATTGGTGTAAATTGCTGACTAGACAGATACTGCAAGGAACTTGCAATCCCATTCATTGACAATTGGGACAACTTTTGTGGCAAACATGATATGTATGCATGGGATAGGGTACATCTTTCTGGGGCAGGGGTGGTAGCTCTTGCAAACTCAATCGAGAGGGCCATTGCTGAAATGCCTAGGGTTTTAAAATGATAGAAGATAGAGATATGGGTGTGTGTGGGAAACAGTCAGGTTGCAACACTAGGGTTGAAAACAGTAAATGTATAAAAGACATTCATCATGAAGTTATAAATAAAGACAATAGATAATGTCAGCAAACAAAGGGAGACAGCAGATGGCAGCAAGGGACTAGCTCCCTTAAGGTCTATTATACTAATAACAGGAGTTTAAGAAATAAGATAGATGAGCTAAGATTAATTGCAAGTGCAGGAAACATAGATATCATTGTTATAACAGAGACCTGGCTCAATCTGAAAGATAGAGAGATGCCTTCTGAATGTCACATACAAGGCTATAAATTATTCCACACCGACAGAGTCAACAGAAAAGGTGGTGAAGTAGTGATGTATATCAGAGACAATTTAAAGTGTTGTGTTAGACAAGATATAAAATTAGAAGCGTCAGCCACTGAATCTATTTGGTTACAGCTTCTCAAGGGCCGTTAAAAACTAATTTTGGGTGTGATTTACAGGGCCCCAAATCTTGATAGGGAGTGCAGTAAACTTCTATGGGATGAAATTCGTAAGGCATCTACATACGAAAATGTTGTGATAATGGGAGATTTCAACTGTAGACAGATTGACTGGAGCAATTTAACAGGAAATTTAGAATCAAGTGACTTTCTTGATACGATTCAGGATTGTTTTTTAAAGTAGTTTGTGACAGAGCCAACTAGAGGAAATAACCTGCTTGACTTGGTTCTTGCCAGCAGGGAAACGCTAATTAATTATCTTGAGGTTAATGATGAGCTCGGGGAAAGTGATCACAAATCACTCAGTTTTAATATATCATGGAATTTCCCTAATAATGGCAATCAAGTCTCTGTCCCTGACTTCCACTTGGCTGATTTCATAGGACTGAAAAATTACTTGGGTGGGCTGAACTGGAATGACCTGACTATGGGTCAGGTAGGTGGTGATGATTGCTGATATGACGTTTTCCAGGGCATAGTTCTAGCTGCTCAGACAACTTATGTTCCAAATAAGGAAATCAGATCAAGCAAAAATGATCCTAAATGGATGAACAATAGATTAAAACATCTCATTGGTCAAAAGAGAGGCATATATAGGCAAATCAAAAGAGGAGAGGTGCAATTAAGAAATCAATATATTCAGTTAAACAGAGAAATAAAAAGGGAATAAGAAAAGCAAAAAGAGATTGTGAGGTTAAAGTTGCAAGACAATCGAAGACTAACCCAAAAGGATTCTTTCAGGTATACAGAAGTAAGATCAGGGACAAGATAGGCCCACTCAAAAGTTCCTCGGGTCAGCTCACTGACAGTGATAAGGAAATGTGTAGAATTTTTAACACATACTTCCTCTCAGTTTTTACTCAGGAAGATACTAGCGAAATTCCAGAAATAATAAATTATGTAGAACAGGATGATGATAATCTATGCGCGATTAGGGTCACAAGTGACATGGTTCTTAGGCAAATTGATAAATTAAAACCTAACAAATCCCCAGGCCCTGATGAACTGTGTGCAAGGGTTCTAAAGGAATGTAAAGAGGAGCTTAGCAAACCTCTGGCTAATCGTTTCAATATATCACTACAGACTGGCATGGTGCCAGGTAAGTGGAAAATGGCAAATGTGATTCCTATTTTCAAAGCAGGTGACAGGTCCTTAGCTTCGAACTATAGACCGATAAGCTTAACCTCCATAGTGGGAAAATTTATGGAATCAATAATTGTCGAGGCAGTTCATAACCACCTTGAAAAGCACAAATTAATCAACGAATCTCAGCATGGTTTTACAAAGGGGTGTTCCTGTCTTATGAATTTATTAACTTTTTTCACTAGGGTATTTGAGGAGGTAGATCATGGTAATGAATATGATATTGTGTATATCGACTTCAGTAAGGCCTTTGACAGGGTCCCACATCAGAGACTATTGAGGAAAATTAAGGCACATGGAATAGGAGGAGAAATTTTTTCCTGGATAGAGGCATGGTTGACAAATAGGCAGCAGAGAGTTTGCATAAATGGGGAGAAATCAGAGTGGGGAAGCATCACGAGCGGTGCTCCACAGGGGTCAGTGTTGGGCCCCCTGTTGTTCACAATCTACATAAACGACATTGATGAGGGCATAAAGAGCGACATAAGCAAGTTTGCCGATAACACCAAAATAGGCCGTCGAATTCATTCTGACGAGGACATTAGAGCACTCCAGGAAGATTTGAATAGACTGATGCAGTGGTCGGAGAAGTGGCAGATACAGTTTAATATAGACAAATGCAAAGTTCTAAATGTTGGACAGGAAAATAACCATGCCACATATACACTAAATAATGTCGATCTTAATATTACAGATTGCGAAAAAGATTTAGGAGTCCTGGTTAGCAGTAATCTGAAACCAAGACAACAGTGCATAAGTGTTCGCAATAAAGCTAATAGAATCCTTGGCTTCATATCAAGAAGCATAAATAATAGGAGTCCTCAGGTTGTTCTTCAACTTTATATATCTTTGGTTAGACCTCATTTAGATTATGCTGCACAGTTTGGTCACCGTATTACAGAATGGATATAAATGCTCTGGAAAACATACAAAGGATGATGATAGACTGAGGTCCCTGAATCTGCACTCTCTAGAAAGGCGTAGAATTAGGGGGGGATATGATTGAGGTGTATAAATGGAAGACAGGAATAAATAAAGATGGAAATAACGTGCTGAAAATATCTAGCCTAGACAGGACTCGTAGCAATGGTTTTAAGTTGAAAAAATTCAGATTCAGGAAGGATATAGGAAAGCACTGGTTTGATAATAGAGTTGTGGATGAGTGCAACAAACTCCCGAGTACAGTTATTCAGGCTAAAACGTTGTGTAGTTTTAAAAATAGGTTAGATAAATACATGAGTGGGTGTGAGTTGGACCTGATTAGTTTGTGCTACTAGGTCAATTGTTGTGTTCCTTCCTTAAGTGAATGTGACCTGCCCTGACTAGGTTGGGGCATTGGCTTAAGCCGGTAGGAGACTTGGATCTGCCTCGCATGGGCCAGTAGGCCTGCTGCAGTGTTCCTTCTTTCTTATGTTCTTATGTTCTTATATATTCTTGCGCTACCCTCCACAGGATGGATATGGAGTGCACAATAAACTAACGGTATCAGCAGCAAAATCTAAATCCCTCTTAGTCAGATTTTACACCCAAATAGACAAGAATAGAGAAGTACTGTAGTAGGCCTACTGGCCAATGTAGGCTCCTCCTTGAAGGGGAATGCAGGTATAAAAAGGATTAAAAATCCTAAGGGATATGAAGGTCCCTTGGAATGAAGGTCCCTAAGGTCATACAAGTCCCACTGGGGAGAGATAAGGAGCACTCAGGTTCATAAGACAGGTCAGGTGCTCTTGTGCTCACTGTGGTACAGGAACATCAGTCGTGAGCGCCCTGAATTTACACTTTTTAGAAAGGAGTAGAATTATGGATGATATGATTGAGGTGTATAAATGCAAAACAGGAATAAATAAAGATGGAAATAGCGTTCTAAAAATATCTAGCCTAGACAGGACTCGCAAGAATGGTTTTAAATTGGAAAAATTCAGATTCAGGAAGGATATAGGAAAGCACTGGTTTGGTAATAGAGTTGTGGATGATTGGAACAAACTCCCGAGTACCGTCATAGAAACTACAACGTTATGTAGTTTTAAAAATAGGTTACATAAATGCATGAGTGGGTGTGGGTGGGTGTGAGTTGGACCTGACTAGCTTGTGCTACTAGGTCAGATACCGTGCTCCTTCCATGTGTGAATGTGACCTGACCTGACTAGGTTGGGGCATTGGCTTGGGCTGGTGGGGACTTGAACCTGCCTCGCATGGGCCAGTAGGCCTGTTGCAGTGTTCTTTCTTATGTTCTTATGAGTATCTTGAGGGGCATGCCAGTGGTGAGCAGCTGACGATGCGAGGACAAGAGCCTTGATGGGGCTGCCAGCAGCAGACAGTCAGGAAGGGCCGATAAAGCAGCCATTACAAGTCCGATTAGAGCCACACCTCAGCTTTAGCCAACAGCAAAGTGCTGGGGAACTCAGCTTCACAGTGGTTGGTCGGTGGGAAGCTTACTATTTGACTGAACCGTTTTGAAGAGATCTGAACTTCTTCTTTGACAGGTAGTCAACTTCAGACGGGGTGGTGTCTGTGAAATGCTGGCTGATGTGGTGAAGTATTTGTTCGGTGGTGTAGACATACTTGGAGTCGCAGATGAACTTAACAGTCCCATCCTGGATTCGCTGGTGAAGTTCTCGGTCAAACATTTCGTCCTTGTATTGGTCAGTGGTGTAGAACCAGACATCTGACTGGTCCAAGGCAGCGAGAGTTTCAAAACGATGTTGTAGTGTTTTTGCTCCCTTGGTTGGTTGTAGGTGAGGTGGTACAAGCGAGGTCGCTGACTGGTCCATTGCAGTGGTGGTGGAGGAAAGTGATGGTTGTCTCTCATTGGTGGGATTGAGTGGCGTCTCGTCGGTCTCTGATTGGGTCATCTGAGTGGTGGAAGGAGGGGATGGTGGTGGTGGAGC